GGGAAATTAAAATTTCAAGTTAGAAAAAAATTGTGTTAACAAAAATTGTTCCTGAAACAATTCTAAACAAACTTTGTCAACAACTTTTTTTGATTTAATCAATAATTAAGGAGATAACCTCAAAATAATTATTTTTACACTTTTATACATAATTATACCTAGATGCTTAATTAATAGAGATGTAAAATTTTTTTATTAAGATAATTGATTCAAAATCGAAATTGAAACAAATTTTATTTAAAACATTTTTTGATAAAAACAATAATTATTGAGATAATTACTTTTGATAGCATACTATTCAGAGGGAAATTAAAATTTTAAGTTACCAAAAAATTTTATTAACGAACACTGTTCCAGAAGTAATTCTAAACAAATATTGTTAATAAAAATTTTTGGTTTGATCAATAATTAAGAACATATCCTCAAAAAAATGTTTATATATATATTTTCATATATTTTTTATTGAAAAAATTGTTATAGAATTTAATTTAGAACAACTTTTGTATGAGTGGAGGGGGGAAATCGTGTCGTTTTGTTACAAAAGTTCCGTGCCCTATTTATAAGGTAGTTAAATTGTTCAAAATGTTTCGAAATAGGTCGATCTCATGTTGTTCAAAATAATTGAAAACTGGACAAAAACAATTGAAAAATTAATTACCCCAAACTGACATCAAAATTCCATAAACACTTGAAAAGATAGTATCCAAAACGACCCCTTTTTTCATGGCAGCACAATATTTGTTGTATTTCTCGTATTTACATGTAACATTGTTAGAGCAAACGGGACACAACGTCAAATTGCTTTGGCAAATTTCTTCATCGACTACATTGTGATTCTTAAATATTGCCATTAATAACCCAGCAATGTAGAAAACTATACCGACCAAGGCAGCCAAAGCTAGGCACCGCATATAAAAATCCATAAAAGCGAAGTAAATCGCTATTTTGGTGCCGAAATATTTTTCGATTAAATTTAACGGTTGGTTTTTGTAAACGCATAAAAAACTTGCCCAATATTTAGCTAAAAGCTAAGAAAAAAAATTTTTGACAATACAATTTTAAATTTATCTACTTGTCTATCAGTAAGTTGTCCCATTTTCGTCCACTCATAAGCACCGTCGTGTAAAGGATACGCATCAGCAAATATTCCCTTTGAAAGTAATTTATCAACCCCATAATCGTTAGCGTTAACATCAAACCAAGTTTTCGTCATTAATAGATATAGTAGCATTGATTTTTCAGCTTTTGTAGGTTTAGTCGGTCTTAAATCCATTAAAGTATCCCTTATTATCCATAAAATAAATTTAAATTAATAAAAAAAAATTAAATTAATATAACTTACGGTGCTCTTCGAAAAATACGAGAAGAATCTTTCAAATCGATTTCAGTTTGAAATAATTTCCAATTATATTGCGTTTCAGACGAATAATACGGGTTAATATAAGACAAATTAATTTTATAAGCAGTAGCTAACTCCTGAACTAAAATATCAGGAATTGTTAATCGTACAAATAAAAACTTGGTGTAATGAATTCCATAATCCATGTTTACATCAACCCCTTTCGCAGATAAAGCATTTAAAAAATTATGCGCGTACTTTGCGTTTTCAAAGCTTTGTAGCTTCTTGTTGGGGATTACGATTACGTAATCAACTTCTTTCTGTTTCGATGGTGGTTTTTGTGGTTCTTCTTCTATCTAAAAATTTTTTTATTACTAAACCAATTTAATTCAATTAAATTAATTCGTACAATTGGTTCATTTAGAAATGATATTGCAGAATAAAATCGAGTGTCGCTTAAACTGTCTTCGCTCGTCTCTACATTAATTGCTTGGTAAGCTGCTTGCTTTCTTGGAAACATATCTCAACTTGGAAGAAAATTTAATTTTAGAATTGAACTCAAAATTGCGAATATTATGGAGATGTCATAAACGTCTATTTTCTTTTGACAAGATTTAATAAGATTTTTTTTGTTTTTTTTAATAATTCTGATACTGGATCATCATCAAATGGATTTGCATAACGAGATACGTTATTTCCCAGAATATTTTTTGGTATAAGAAGTTTCCACTGATACCACTGAAGAATTTTGGACATTTTGAACGGAAGAGTCTTGGAGCTCCACAACCATGACATTCATCTTCATGTCCACATATTGTCTATCTTGTTAATAATGTGACCAAAATGTGTCTAAATATATCCAATCTTGTCTAAGTATGTCTAAATATTTCCAATCGTGTCTAAATTGGCTAAAATATATCATGGCCAAATGATAGGCCTCTCGAACACGTAACGTTAAGAGGCGTAAGAAGAGCTGAAAGGGACAAAGGACAGGTGGAAGATAGCCTTACATACAAAAACATAACCTAAATTTTTTTACACGTCAATTTGAACTTGTTAGTTTCTAAAACCGGGATGATTTCTTACAACAAAAACACAGTAAGTCGATTAATTTTAAATTATATCATTAATTAATTGCTATATTTAATAAGTTGTTGATTAAAAAATTTTAATAAGTATTTGAATTTTCGTAAAGTTGCTCGCCCCATCTAGCGGTAACCATACTAAATTGTATTTTTGACATTTCAAAACCACCGGTTACATTTTTTGTTAAAATAATCAAATTTTATAAAAGAAGGCGTCAACGAGGTAAAAGCAAATCATCAAATTACGTTTTTAAACATTCTAATTACTTATTTATAGTGATTTTAGGTTGTACGAAGAGATTTTTCCCCCTCAAAATAATCAACGAAGTTTACATACTAAAACATAACCTAAATTTTTTTACACGTCAATTTGAAACTTGTGAGTTTCTAAAACCGGGATGATTTCTTTCAACAAAAACACAGTAAGTCGATTAATTTTAAATTATTTAATCAGTAATTAATTCGTTTATTACTTTTTGAAATATTCGGTCGTTTTTGAAAGGTTGCAATCAAAAACATAACCTAATTTTTGAACAGGTCAATTTGAGAATCTATGAACAGTCTATGAGATTAATAAAAATAGTATTTGTTTGTTAGATTTAATAATTTATTTAATAAGTTTTCAAACAATCAATCCTTAAAACTAGTTAATAGTACATTAAAACACAATGTAGTATGTGTGTAATATAGAAGCAATAATACAAAAGAAAAAAAAAAAACAGGGGTTTTTAAACAATCCAAGTGAATAAGTAGTTAAAAACAGATCTCAGTAATAATAACGATGGTCTTAGGGAATTGAGTAACGAAGCTCCTTATTGCTAATATTTTTAATAATATTAATATTTATATATTTACAATTCCAAGTGAGCGTTGTATATAGTCGAAAAATATTATTTTCTTTTTGTTCGCCGCTCTTAGATAAGAGTATAAACAGTTTATTTATTTATTTTTGTTGAAAATTTGGCACTTTGAACAACGCGATTGAAAAAATGCATATCTTATTAGTTAAAATAATAAGTTTTATATAAATTACATTCTCTGGATTCAATTAATTATTAACATTCAATAAACATGAACTCAATATATATTTAAAACAATCATTTATAATATTAAAATAAAATGTAACAAAAAGAAAAATATAATCAACAATGATCTCATTTTAAAATCCTACCATTTATTTAATTTATTAATTATTATTATTTTATTATTCTCCTGTAATATAATATTCAAAATGTTTACACGCAAAAAATTTTATATGAAAATTTAGTACTTAACTATATAAAATGATGTTATTCGATTATTACTTCAAACATACTGTATCTGTGTATGTATATATTGATAAGGCACATTTTTTTAAATATGTATATTCTCCTTCGTAGCCGCTTTTCTTTTTCTTCCTCTTTTTTTTACACAAGTGATTATATCTTACAGTGTTAATAATACTCTATCTACTAGATAAAATGACAACCGGTGAACATATTCCCATTATATATTCCTTTTCAAAGAAATCGGAGCCTGTCTTAAAGGGGCCTTGTAAAATTCGCCGGGAACATTCCCTTTTCACCATTACTCTCTTTTATACCCATTAACCAACCTTCCTCCTATTTTAATTTAAAAAGTTAAACAAATTTTATAAAAAACCATCATATTTACTTGTTCTTCCGGATCATCATATTCTATAACTTGAATTATCTCCCCAACGTCAAAGGATAACTCATCGACATCTTCCCTATTATATTTATAGGTAGATTTCACTCGATAAAGAACACCTGGTGGTAAATTATCAGTGCTAGCACCTATATTATAAACAATATTCATAAAATTAATTCAAAAAAATTTTTAAATTGGTAAACGCAAAAATAGAAAAAATCCCCATTTAACAAACAACCAACAAAAAAAATGTACTTACCAACTGGAATATCATACAACTCCTCAACATTTTTATTGACACTTTCATTTTTCTCTCCACCAGCCGTTGGTGTTGTTTTATTACCACCATTTTGTACCTTATCCGGCTTTTCCAATTGTGGGGTAACCTCGTCATCTCCTGGGTCCCCACCATTAATTTCAACGGCCTCGGGGGATGGTGGAGGAGCAATATCCTCGTTAGTTTTTTCAATTGATTCTTCTGGGGGTACTGCTGAAACTGGTGCAGCCCTAGGTGAGATAGGGGATCTTGGGGGCGGTGTGCCCGGGGATTTTGGGGTCGTAGGTGAGGGACTAGCGGGTGGCGTACTATCCACGGAAGCTCGCGATGCCTTTGCGGTGGTAAATTCGGGAGTGTGTTCGCTATTAGTTGGGGTTTTTGCATCATTATCAGCTAAAAACAAGTTTTAGTGCAACACTTTTTTTCATGCATACAAACAACAAAAAATAAAAATAAAACAAAAAATTGGTTTTATAGATCACACTTACGAATTGGATTAATTTTTGTTGGCGTTGTTGAAATATTATTAACAAAAGAAGATGGAGTCGTTCTTGAAATGCTCGCCGTACCATTAGTTCGTTTTACACTGTAAGAAGATCGTTGACTATCCGTTGCTAACTTATCAACAATGTTTTCTAACGTTCCAAAAACTTTTGAGGCTTCATTATGGAAGTTTTGTTCGGCGTTAAACAATGTTTGTAAATTTGTAACCAAAAAAAGAATCCTCGAATCGTACAAAGCAGGTAATTCGTCGTGTAATTCCGAATTAAGCATTTCATACGTTCGTTTCGCTTCTTCAAGTTGTTCTTTACCCCGAGCAATTTTTGTTTCATCCCTTTTCTTCGCCATATTTAATTGAAGCGCCTGAAAACTATGCCTTTGACTGTCATAATCAACCAATTTCCTTCCCCTTTTATCGATTTTCTTTTTCATCTCCGGAAATTGACTTTGATATGTATTCAGTGGGATACAAACTTGATCGGTTAATTTATGGTAAAAATCTTGCCATAAACTATCCACCGATTGTGTTTGAACGTATAAATTATCGTGACCTGACCAAGAACTTTCGTACGTATCTCCTATTGCTTCTAGAAGGGATTTTGACGCTACCTGTACATCTGGAAAACAAATAAGAACATGTTATTTAGGTCAAATAATACAGGAAATGTAGATTTTAAATGCACGCAATGATTGCGTGTCTAAGTAAGTTGCGTGTTAAAGTAGGAAATAATTTATTGTTTGTAAATGTGTGTGGAAAGAAATCAATTTTTAATAAAATGAAGATATTCAAGTTATGGGTCAGCTGTAGAATTGACACTTATTTTTGTTGACGTTTTTTAAAAAAAGGCATTTAAAACAAGTAGGTTCCTCTTCGCGCAAATTACGCTCATATCGACGGTTATCAAGAGACGAAGAGCGTACGGTGTCACTGACCGGAGTTCGCTTGCTTCATCAAGTTCCTGCTGCTGGTGGTGCAGATTTCCTAAAACTCTCACTCGTGTACAACCTTCCTGTACACATACTCACGCATCTAACTGTAAAGTAGTAGTAGAAGTCGTCAAACCCCCCTCCGAATCGACAATTAATTCTTAAAACCACATTACTCGAATAACTTCTCATTCAATTACTTAAATAAGGTTAAACCTTTCTTATGCAACATCGACATTCTTATTTGTTTGCTTTTTATTGTTGTGATATTTCTTTAACATGGCCCAGTGGCATGGAAAATTATAGAAAGGTGTGTTTCTAGTTAAACAATAGTCAGCGGCTTATTGTTTTAAATTTGGGTTGAGAGATCATTTGATTAACGCTTTAAGATTATTTTACTACGATTAACTATTTTTTATGCCATGAATTGAAGCTGTTTTGTTGTAAAAGCAGCGAAACCGTATTGAAAGCAAACGTTGCGTCATAAAACTCGTTTTATACGTTGCTAATTGACGCTCGGTTAACAATTCGTAATTTATTTGGCGAAAATGAGGTTTAAAAAGTTTGTATTAAATCGTTTGAAAAATTGAAAAGGTTAAATTAACATAAAATTGACTAATTAATATCGTAGGTGTGTTTACTTACTTCTAACGGCTCTTAGGTAATTACTGAACTCTTTTTGTAGTCTATTGGCGGCTAATTGTTGCCTGTTGAAGTTTTGAAGATGTTCATCAAATATGTCGTCTAAAGTTTTATCTACTTTTCCCAAATTTTGTAATAGCTGTAACAAAAAAAATTGATAAAATTAATTTTCAAGGTTTTCTTAACGAGGTTGTTAATTATGATCGTTTAAAAACTTTCTATAACAATTAATTAAGTAATAGTAGTATTAATTAATGTTTTATAAGATTGAAAAATATAAAATTTTGGTGCCGGGAACCGAAACGATGAAGGAGACACGTTATTGTTCCCGTTCCTAATTTTATATCTTGGCAAAGAAGCAAATTCGCTTGACATACTTCGGGACTCGTTTCAATGTCTTCGCTTGTACAACTGCGCGCAGCCGATTTTTCGGTTTCCCGGGGTGAAAAAGAAATTTCTAATTATATACGAAGAAATCATTAACGCGACGTTTGTAATCACGTCAGATTCTTTTTAATGAAAATAAAGAAACGAGTTCGCGTCTACCCGAAGGCTAAATACCCATAACACACTTCCTTCTACAATTTATACACATTGAAAGTGTACATAAAAAGTCCAGCTTTCACTCGAACTCATCGACAAGGAACGAAAAAATTAAAAAAGAATTTTTTACATTATAATAATACCTCTATAACAGATTAATATGGAGAAGCTATACTAGCACTAGATCAAGGACTAGAACCATTCGGGTTATATATTTAATTTATATATTATTATATATTATATTTAATTAATTAAAATTGTTTTCATTCGATTTAAAACAAAAAATCGAGTCATTTAAGCCCAAACACGATGGGTCTATCTTCAAAACTCCCAAAGATACTCAAAAATCAAAATAAAAACAAAGATGGCTGGTAAGAACTGTCATTGTGAGGTTATGTTTCGTTATTTTACCAAAAATATAGGTTGTGGGGTATCAAATTATAGGATTTTTAATTTTGTTTATGAAACTGAACGTATTTTTAATATATCTTTTTAAATTATTTTTCACAAAAATTAATCAAATTTATTTTCACCCGATTTAAAATTAAAAATCGAGTAATTTAAGCCCAAACACGCAGGGTCTATCTTCAAAACTCCCAAAGATACTCAAAAATCAAAATAAAAACAAAGATGGCGAGTAAGAACTGTCATTGTGAGGTTATGTTTCGTTATTTTACCAAAAATATAGGTTGTGGGGTATCAAATTATAGGATTTTTAATTTTGTTTATGAAACTGAACGTATTTTTAATATATCTTTTTAAATTATTTTTCACAAAAATTAATCAAATTTATTTTCACCCGATTTAAAATTAAAAATCGAGTAATTTAAGCCCAAACACGCAGGGTCTATCTTCAAAACTCCCAAAGATACTCAAAAATCAAAATAAAAACAAAGATGGCGAGTAAGAACTGTCATTGTGAGGTTATGTTTCGTTATTTTACCAAAAATATAGGTTGTGGGGTATCAAATTATAGGATTTTTAATTTTGTTTATGAAACTGAACGTATTTTTAATATATCTTTTTAAATTATTTTTCACAAAAATTAATCAAATTTATTTTCACCCGATTTAAAATTAAAAATCGAGTAATTTAAGCCCAAACACGCAGGGTCTATCTTCAAAACTCTCAAAGATACTCAAAAATCAAAATAAAAACAAAGATGGCGAGTAAAAACTGTCATTGTGAGGTTATGTTTCGTTATTTTACCAAAAATATAGGTTGTGGGGTATCAAATTAAAGGATTTTTAATTTTGTTTATGAAACTGAACTTATTTTTTAAATACATTTTAAATTTTCAAAAATTGAATTAAAATAATATTCATTCGATTTAAAATTAAAAATCGAGTGCAGTCGGCTTCACTGTATTATTGTATTATTTTGTTGTTATCAAAAATTTAAACATATTACTCACTCAGTCAGTTTGCGTGTATAGAAAAAAATTAACCACCGTTATCGTGTAATATTCGCGTATTTTATAGGCGCGGTTTGAAAATATGTATTCAATACGATTAGAATATTATTTATTCCCAGGCTTTCCTAAACGCGGCAAAAAGAGATATTTAAACGCTTTCGGAATGAGTCACGCAGATGAAACAATGTGGGTGGATTTTATTGCTTTTAAATAAGGATCAAGATAATAAAAAAAAATGATAAGAATTTTTTAAACTTTCCATTAAGCAGCTAAAGACTAAAATTATTCTTATGCAAATAATTTTCCTCAACAACAATATCTTAATGGAGACTCTCATTGTTGCTTTTATAATCCAATCAAATCATTAAACAACCCAATAAAACTCAATAAAAAACTCTATTATTTCTTCTTCAAGTTGTTAAACGAAAGGTAGTAAAAAAAATCGAAGGAGTAAAATTAAACGACGAGAAGAATTCGATCACCTGTTAAATCTACCTGTGTGTGGAGGTAAAACCAAGGTTGTCTTGAAACGTTGTTGAGTCTCTCTTCAACAAACATTCAGAAATAACGGAATCGTCGATTAACAGTAAGCGTTCGTAAAGTGAAGAGTCTCCTCTTACGAATAAAACGCGAATCGAATCGTTCTTTTACAAATAGTTATTTTTATTAAAATTAATTTTGAATTTAAGCTTAAAATTGAAGGTAAATTTGTTTTCAAAACGTTTAAATAAAACGATCTGTTTTGGATCAACCAAAAACTCCAGTAACCAGTAAGGTCGCGCCAAAAGTTATAGTTTCGAGCTCAAGTTTGATGCGAAATAACAAATATAGAGACGCAATTGGTAATTGAGTCATGGTTTTAGTATATTTTTATTACTCAAAGAGATATTACTATAAGAAACAAACTAAAGATGAGAATAATTTTAAAATGACAACATGTCCAAAATATGTATACACTCCATCCTATCACAAAGATAGTTGCGTATGAGACACGCAGTTAAAGGATTCACATCCTGTGAGCTCCATGAGTAATACTTAAACTCAAATTGCACACTTGAATGTTTTTATGTATTTGCACATTCTTTCAGTTGCATCTCTATAACTCTCATCTACCCAGAACAAACTAATTACAACTACTTAGTCTTATGGCAAGTCCACAATATCGAATCTTTTATTTGTTACCACAACTTTTGTATCTAATGTAACTGTTCAACCATTCCAAGTTGATAATACAAGAATGGAAAAATTGCTGTTAATCGTATCAGATTCTCGGGTACAATAGATCTTTAAGATAAGGGTGCAAGGTTGGGACTATCCGATATACAGGTGTCCCGTTAAGCGTACGGAGCGGCTGTATCTCTAGAACGGTAAGGCCAAGAGGTTTGGAAAGAAAATCCTTATAAGCAAAGTGACCAAGAGAAATAGCTGGAAATTATTTTGAAGTTCGTAATTCGACCGCTAGGGGGCGTAACTGCCATTGAAAAACATAAAGTTCCCGCTATCTCAGAACCTTAGACGATGAGCTATAACTTTGACAACATCATTTAATAGCTTGGATAATACCGCATCGCTTTTGGTTTGCGATATTTCTCATATCTGTCATAATAAGGGAGGGGGAGGCCAATGCGTTTTCATATGTTTACATTTTAATATCTCCTAGACCATTCAACCGATTTGAATGTTTTCGGTGTTGTTTGAAAGAGCATTTTATGCTCTTTTTAAAGATATTTTCAGTAAGACCGTCTGCTTTAAAACAAATGAGCTAGAGGACGTTATCTGCAGCGATTACATATTTTTGTGATTTTTGAAGAAAAGTTAAATGGAACGATACTATTTACTTCACAGACCCTTAGTCACCTTCAAATTTGCTAAATTTTAGTGAAAACCGCATCTCGATGTCGCCACCCGTTCTCGAGTTATAGAAGAAAATGTTAAAAACTCGAGTGCCATCAATCGGATCCAGTTACCTCATCGAGAAAAACAAATCACATAACCATGGTAACTGTAAACATGTCATTTACTAACGCAGAAGCGTATGATAGAGCGTATGATGATTTATTTTCAATGTTTCAAATACGATGCAACTGCATGGCAAAAATGTGCAATGCAATTACGACAAAGAAAGACATTTTTCTCTAGAAGTGTTTTTAAGATTGACTTAGCGATTACGGAAAACTGGCAACGTGTAGCCCATTCAGACATCTCTATGAATTCGTAAATCATATTGGTGCGCAATGTGATCCCACATAATCTGGGAACTCCGAAAACAATTGTCCACAAGAGTTCTCAAGAGAATAATATCTCCACCACGTTGTTTTACATCAGGCCTTAACAGATACCGATTATGATAACAGACTGAACTATTACCATTGACTTTTAAATATGATTTGGGCAAATCCAAACCTTCTATCACGAATGCTATGGATGCATGAAGCATCTGTCTACAAGCTGATGTAAACTTGCATAATATGCATTCTTGGTTCGAGCAAAACCCACATTGCTTTCACCCCTTTATCTATTGGGCAGACTAAACGACCTGACTTTTCAAGAAAAACCAATAACCAGGGAAAATATGACAAAACACTAAATACCAGTAAAAACGTGTCCAGGGCCGAGACTTAAGCAGCGCTTTTTTTTCGTCGAAACTAGATTAAATAAATGCATCGAGGTTTATGGAAGGCATTTCGCTCATTAGTGAGTTATTTTTGCCAAAAATTTAAGTTATTCTAAGTGTTTTGGTTTATTTTGTTTTATTATCATTGTTGATGTTTCATTGATCCGTTGGATTTTCAACACGCCTCAAAAGTAGTTTTGAAGCAGTTCTAAGCTTGGATAAAGTGTGAAGGAAGGTTCTAGATAATAAAATTTTTATTCTCTCTTATTTGTTTCCTAAGGTTACTTGATCCGATTAAGATATACGAATTTTTAACATTTTCTTTTATAATTCGAGAATGGATGGAGATATCGAGATGCGGTTTTCACTAATATTTAGCAAATTTTATGGTGATTAACGGTCTGTGAAGTAAATAATATCGTTCCATTTAACTTTTCTTCAAAAATCACAAAAGTATGTAATCGCTGCAGATAACGTCCTCTAGCTCATTTGTTTTAAAGCAGACGGTCTTACTGAAAATATCTTTAAAAAGAGCATAAAATGCTCTTTCAAACAACACCGAAAACATTCAAATCGGTTGAATGGTCCAGGAGATATTAAAATGTAAACATTTGAAAACGCATTGGCCTCCCCCTCCCTTATTATGACAGATATGAAAAATATTGCAAAACAAAAGCGATGCGGTATTATCCAAGCTACTAAATGATGTTGTCAAAGTTATAGCTCATCGTCTAACTTTCTGAGATAGCGGGAATTTTATGTTTCTCTATGGCAGTTACGCCCCCTAGCGGTCGAATTACGAACTTCAAAATAATTTCCAGCTATTTCTCTTGCCCACTTTGCTTATAAAGATTTTTTTCCCAAACCTCTAGGCCTTACCGTTGTTGAGATACAGCCGCTCCGTACGCTTAACGGAACACCCTGTATAATTTATGTAATGGAATGTATTCGATGATAAGTTGGAAGAACGAAATTCCTCTGGTCATCAATTTTGGGAAAAAATGTACTCCCAGAAACTGTATGGTTGTAATTTCCACCATGAGAATTACCTCTTATAATAAAAGCCATCATCAATGTTTTACTTCAATTTGGGGAGTCCCAAAAACTTTATTGTTGCCTTATTTGCACCATTAAATCATCTTTTATGCTTAACATCATGGTCACTATCTTCTCATCATTAACAAATATTTAATCTATCTCTTAGATGATCTCTTTTTGTGTGAATTAAATCCTATATATATATTTACTATATATAAAACCAAACTTTTAGCAATAGTTTTATTTGAGGAACTTTCCGAGAGTTGAACCGAGGCCGTTATTTTTAGTACTTTACGCAAACGCCTCTGAATGTAACTCCTGATTTACGAGTAGAGACCATCACAACCCTTACGTAATCTAACTCTCGACGTGCATTCACGATTCTCTTCCTCTCGTTACAAAACGAGAACCTTTCTTGTTAAATTAAACGGTAAACATTTCTACATTTATCGCTAATTACTTCTTAAAAACGATTTCAAATCATAAAGCGTTACTAAATATCAATCGTGCGATATTTTTAAAATATCCTTTAAGCATCATGTTGAAACATCGACAAATTATAATTTGCAAAAATCGTATTTTAATTCTTTAAATAAACTATGTAGTTAATTAAGCGTCAGCGGAAAATTGGACTTCACTACTTAAATTACAAAAAAAACTTGTATTGTGATGTTGTATAATTCGATTGTAACCGGTTCTAAAAATGTTTTTCGTTTTGTTACTCATAGTGCTAATATCGGTTGGAGTAACGAAAATAAACTGAAGGTCTGACTCAATGGGGGTAATCGAAACTGCGTATTTATCACTTTTCTATTAAAATCCAAAAACGCACAATGATATATTATTTATTCGTTTGATTTTTCCCCCTTTAAACGGTACATTCTTCGAATTGCTTTCGTTTTTCCTCAACAACATTGTCCCCCCACTACAATAACTAACACTAATCTCGAGGAGAGGCCGAGACGTTCTCATTCCACTCTAACATTTCACGATACCTAGCACAGGTGTGCATCAATCGATTCTATTATAACCAAAAAGAAAAGAGCAATAAATGAATAACTCTCGACGTTCGTAAAGAGTCATAAAAATGCAATCTTGCTTCAATAAATAGAAACACAATACGATAGCGACGACAATTCTATATATAATTATTCAATGTCTATTTCCGATTTAACCTATGCGACTGTACATTGTTGAGGAAGGTCTTAATAAAACCAATAAAATACAATTTATTTTTGAGAGATTTTCTTATCTATAGATTCAATATAGGTAGCGTGTTTGGATTCTCTTGTTATATCTCGCTATCTATTTATTATTGAGAGTGTAAATATGTAGGTTTACGTACGCGCAAACGTAATTGTCCGTTATAAACTGGACGACCTTGTGTACGGAACCTAATACAAAGGTATATACGGTTGAATATAAGTAGATTTTCTAATTCACTTTGGAGTTGCGCAAAACTTTTTACACAGGGTGTCTCGCAATGATTAAACATAATCCATAACAATTTCAATACAGGATATTAAAGTATTTTGTTGAAATGATTCAAATATATTTCTTAAAAAAATGTAATATTCATAAAATTAAATTATTTATTATTACAATTTAATTAGAAGTTTACAAATTTCGATAAACGTCATTTCTTCAAGTAATGACATCAATTGTAGCGCCTCGCCCTTAGCGTATCACTGGAAATAACACATCTTAGTCTCGATATAATGCTTAGGTGAAATACATCTTCTGCAACAATGATAAAGGCTGCTTGACTTGATTATAAGGAAAAGTTAGGGCCGAAAGTAGCTCGAACGAATTTATTTAAGCACCAAGTAGAATGACCAAGGTCTAAGACTATGTTTATGGTTTTGCTAAGAACTTGCCTCCTTCAAATTCAGTGCATTTGATCTAATTTAGAGTATTAGCCAACACGATTGTGTCATCAATAAATTATATCAAATAGTCGAGCGTAAAGGTAACATTACATAGGAAGAGCCACGCATACGCCAAACAGACAAAGGTGGCAAAAAGAGCTATATAGTATCTAACGTACGAAATTTAGTTGTTGTAAACTTGTGGTTTCAACCAGCTCAATTGCTAATGGTAGCGATTATTGAGAGCTCGATGAGTAGATTATGTGGCCAGAGGAATCTTCTAACAAACTTTTTGGTAATGTCGGAAGTATGGTATCTTCATTAATTACAAATTAATACTATCCATTAATAAATTATAGGATTTGATCAAATAATGTTGCGGAACAGATATACTTGATTACTCTAGCTACAACATCCGCAATACTTTTTCGCCAGGTCCTTAAAACTTATTAGGCATTTGATTAGCTGGATATTACTTGGAATTCTCGAGCACTGTTGTTGCTGGCTTGATTGAAGGCTTCATCTCCAATTGATTGGTTAGAGTTTAGAAGCAAATACAGTTTTAAATAACACAATAACATAACAAATTTTTACCAAGATTTTATTTAACTAAAAAGTTCCTTCAATACACATAAATATAACATTTGAAATCATTTCTTCCATAAATCTTCTAGTATTAAAGTAAAATTAGTTATTATGCAATCGTTGTACCACACCTGTACTGTACACAACCTAACAGAAAACGTTATATCGGGATTTAAAGTTTTAAAATAAATAACGAGGTTAATGGCATCTTAAAGAACATCTTAAAACTGTTTTTTAGGATGGGCATTTTTGACGTCATCATAGTCACACGTTTGCTTTAATTGAAATGATAAATATCAAGGAAAATTTAGGTTATCTAAAAAATTAGGCAAAAAATGTGATTCAAAAAGTAAATTGCACATTTTTTTAAAAATATGTTGAATCGACTTAATAAACTCTTGTGGGTTTAAGATAAAAATTTGTTTAAATATTGATTTTGTTAGTATTTTTGTAGTGTGCTTTAAAATGTGTTGAAAATATTGAGGAAAATTTGAGGCACCCAGTAAACCCGTTCAGTGCCAAGCAAATTCTATTCTAAGTCAGAGTTATTTTATTTCAGCTTCGTCCGTAGCACGGATTCTGCTTCGAAAATACGCGAGGACCTCACCAGGATTATTACCCATGACATTATATCATCTCTCATCTGCAACAACTATTTTCCTTCCTTATTTTAACTCGTTTATTAACCTTCAAAGTGTTAACTTCTTATAAATTATTTTTTTATAAGCATCCGATACACGGACAGCTTGACACACTTTCTTAGGAAAGTCCAAACCTGTCCGTGGAAGGCGACGACGAAGAAGACGAAGGAGAAGAAAAGGAAGAAAAAAAAATAGAAACTTTTCGGTATTTACCAAATCGGACGTGGGTTCACCATACATTTCCTTTTATAGGTTAGGGTACGTGGGATTCGATATATTCAAATGAACCAAGAAACAAACAACCAACTTTTAATATCTTGACCACAACTTCGATTACTATCTATATACCACTTGACTTTAATAAGATTTATTCATAAAAATCGAATACAAATCCAATTTAGATAAAACATAACCTAATTGTTTTTTTGAAGTTTTAAACGTCACTGACCTTCTCTTTGGCCCTTCCTGCGTGTTTCTGTACGGATTTAGCTAATAGGGAACCGCGACTTTCAGCCATTTCGATGCACTCACAATTAAAAATTATGAATAAACAAAAATTATGAAAAATTAAAAAAAAAAAATAAACTTTGGGTTCCGCAAAAAAATATTTTTACCGGAAAAACCACCACTTTTTCGTTCGCTTTTATACCGCGCAAAAAAACGAAAACTGGTAATAAACGAGGAGTGATGTAAGCACCTCGCGACTGGCCACTACCTCCAGTTCTGTCTCGCTACTGACATTCGCACGCGGGGGGCTTCGGGGGGCCACCTTTCATGTCCAAATTGCCGAACCCAACAGTTTTTTATATGCAGGAAACTGTAAATAAACGCCATCTATTACTCAATATGATGTATCAATATCTTCGATGTGGAAATTGATAATGATTCCGTAATTTCATTATGTTTTAAGGAATTTAATTATTACTACATTCTTTCGCAAATATTATTTTATTACCATATGATTGTTTTATAATTTATTTATTTTTTAATTAATAAACTTGGAATATATCGTAATAGTCTGTAATAGATGGCGCTCTATTAAGTGTCAATATTTTAAATGTCATCTTTTTTAGGTTAGAATTAAAATAAATAAATTTTAGTAGTAATGTATTTATTCAGCTAGCATTTACACTTAAAAATTATTAAACATTAAACACTATACATAATCATTATTCGCCATACAATTTGCGGATAGCAAAGAAGCGGGATCGTTCGCTCGTTAGAAGGCGTTTTTTTCATCGAAGCTTTGCTCGTTTTCAACCAAAATCTCAACCCGACCCCATTAAAAAGAACGAACATATTCTCAAAAATGGGTTGCATACTAGAAATATTTACACCATCTCTTAAATCGAGCAAAAGTATTGTACGTATAAACTGATTGCTTTTATCACAAAATAGCACCATAATAAACCTAAGGGGTGCGATCAAAGTTTCGAGCGAGTTTCCGTGCGGGTTTGTGCAGTAATTACGCGGAAACCAGCTCGAAATTGATCGGCAATTGAAACGATTTATGTGAAAAAACTACATGACTGGATTATGATCGTAAAATTGTGTCCCCGGTGGGATTTTATAACCAGGATAGGTACTGTTTAGTTGATGTTTCGCAAAGAATGGCATGTAATCTTTATGCTGTTTCTTCGGTCTACATGCTGGACCTTTCGCCAAATCCAAAAGGTGTTGTTTTTCTGCCGCCATTTTTTCTTTTACTTCCTCGGGGGGCCATTTAAGGTCGCCCCTAAGGTTTTTACCACCTAAAACAAGAATTAAAAAATATATTTATTAATTTAAATGTCATTTAGGTTATGGAATTTGAATATTTGTTGAAATGAAATTGTTTACCTCCGAATTTCGCCGTGGCTGGTTGTGAATTAACCAAAGGGGGAGGAGCTTGGCTAACTGGAGCCTGTGGTCGTAAGGTGATTGTGCTTGGTGGAGGTTCTACTGGTTTTGGTTTGGTCAATGTCCTCTGAGGCTGTGGGGTTCCCTGTAAATAAGACAACTTAATATAATTTCGATCAAAATAGATAAACCCTAAACAAAAAAGAATAATGAAAAACCTGTGAAAACCCCAAAAATACTCTACCTGTTGACTTGGAGCCAACTGATCCAAAGATGACACCTTCTGAGGAGGTGTTGGGGTAACTTTAGGGGGATTTACTTTTGGAGGTTCGACGTTTTGAGGCGCTAAATTTTGTGGTACAAAACTTTGCGGAACAGAATTTATTGGTACAGAATTTTGTGATACAAACTGAACCGTTTTAGATGGTTCTTGGTAAGTTTGAGGAGATACAGAAGAATCGGGTGATTTTGGAACAAAACTCGGTTTACTTTCTTCTTTTTTAGGAGTAATCGGCTTCCTTGGTTTAATTTCTTCTTCGTCTTCAGGCTCAGCTCTTTCGATTTTAACTGTTAAAATCTTTTCGGCCAATTTCGAAGGTTGACTATTTTGACTTAAAGTTTGAGTTTTAAATTCCGGCGGAGGAGCCGGTTTAAAAACAGGAATTTGAGTAAATTCTTTTTGAAAACTCGATTGTTGATTAAAACTTGGTTGTTGTTCAAAACTAGTTTCTTTCGAAGATGTCGAATAACTTTGCACAATCGGTTGACTTTGAAATTGTTTTTGAGATGATTGCGATTGAGATTCGGATTGCGATTGAGAAGAAAATTGATATTGCTTCGTCGTAGTGTACTCGGTTACTTTCGAGGATTTAAACGATTGAACGTTTGAAGACGTCGAAGGAGATACAGATCTATATTGTGAAGAAGATGGTGATAATTGAGGTGACCAAGGTTTAGCTAAAGAACTAAAATCGGTTGGACTTTTATTCAATAAAGGTGAAGAGGGTGGCGGTGAAACCGGTTGAAACGTTGCAGAACTTGTAAATAATTTTTGATCCTCTTTAAATTGTGGAGTAGGAGGTTTTTGTTGATTTAATTGAATAGGAATTTCGCGGGTTTGATTTTGTTGAATAGGAATATTGTGGATTTGAGGAGTTGTTTGATTTTGTTGAATGGGAATATGGTGGGTTTGAGGTCCAGGTGTAGTTTGACTTTGTTGAATGGGGATGTGGTGGATTTGAGGACCAGGCGTAGTTTTTTGAGGGTTAATTGGGCCGCCCTATTAAAGAGAAAAATACAAATCGATTTAATAATATAAAAAATACTTTACGAGTTGTTGCATGGAGATATTTTTTTAATAATAATTAAATTGAAATTTCTTACTTGTGCTTGCACAGCTGGTTGTTCAACAAATTCTTCGTTATTATTATCTTCCGGTGGCGGCCAAGCAACGCGTTTTAAACCTGAAAATAAAAACGAAAATGTTAGATATTTAGTTCCACCTTATCATATTTCTTGTCCGAGGCAAACGAGGAGAGGTCATGCTAGACTAAAATTGTGGCTTGAAGTCGCAGACAGAAAGTTGGGGTTCTGTCAAAATGTGTATCCTCACTCATAATCTCCTCAAGATTTTTATTCAGAATATACTCAAATAACAATGAGAGAGTAAAAAGAAGCGCAGAGAAAAATCAAAGTGTTTCTTTGTAAATCCAATTTATAAAAGTATAAATTTTGATTATACTTTAATTGTATCGTTCAATCTTTATAATAAGGGGTGATACAATTTTGGATTCATAACCAACTACACACAACTATTTATAAAATTTGGCAAACATTTTCCTTTGGATCATTTTAAATTATTTTCTTTTTATTCATAGGGAGGATATAAATTTCAAAACATTACCTCGATTGTTATTATGATTAAAATTAAACAATTACTTAATCATTTTGTACTCGAGATAAGATCGTTTTGAATATAAAGTTTTCTTTATAAATTTTGGGTATTTCACTCAATTCCACTTCAAATTCAAATCGTTTTTGGAACAACGCCAAAGTGTACGCAATGAATTTTCGAACGTATGACTTATTTAGGACGACTACATTCGTAATCTTCATATCAGTTTACAACGATTTCAAAAAATTACAACTAACATTTTAAAGAATGATATAAAGTTACACTTACACTTTTTATCTTTTTAGGTGAACAACAACAAGAGGAACTTTCAAACGAACACTTTTCAAGAACCTTAACACGAGTATTAATTTACTCGAGAAGTACTAAGAAAAACTGTTGTGGTGGAAACAAAACTTTGGAAAGAACTGAGACGAAGTAGTGGGGAATGAGCTTTAACACAAAACTACTACTACCTGAGATTGCGCCCGACTTGATGACGTCATAAAACCCTGCGTGTCGCCTTTCGACTTTCGGAGGCGGCCACGCGATTTGATCTCGAAGCGGTTTTTGGCTTTTTTTGATACCTTCAAGAACGCGTGAGTCATAAATACAAACTTAAAATTATTTATATCATTCTTTTTAAGTTAAAACCGATTTTTTGAAGCACTTTTTTACTTACTTCCAGGTTGGCCGCTTCGTTTTCTATTCTCCTCCTCCTCCAACATCCTAAGCACGGCTGAGTTTTGTAAATTTGTCGGTTTGTTCATCATGGGGTTGTTGAAGTCAATTCTACGGATAAATAATTATTACATCTCTTATTTGGTAAGATAAATCACTTTATGTTTTTTTTTTAACTTATTATTTTGAAAAAAATACGCACCTTTGGTTGACAAAAACGCTCATTTTCGTTTATATTTTAATTTCGGAGAATAATTAATTAATTATCTTTTAAAAATAATTCGTAAATTCGCGTTCGCGGCCGTTCGTTTCGCGTGTTTGTCGCGACTAATCTAATTTCTTCGGAAGATGGCGCACGCTTTTGCGCAAACCACTGATTCACATCGCTTGAAATAAGCAATTTCGGGGCTATTTTCGTTTCAGAACGCTATTGCTGACCAAAAATTTAACACAATTAGTCATCCAAAGTGATCCCACAAACATTTTTTTAGACTTTATCTTCTCATTTTTAATACGAACCTAGTTTGTGTAATTAGCAATTTTATTGTTAATTAACCACAAAAAAAATGTTAGACGTTTTAGGATAAAATTTTAATTTTAAATTTTCATTTAACGCACAATCTCCAAGTGGAAACGAATCGAGAACGTGTGACAAAAGTATTTTTGGCTAAGTGACGCGAATGTCGTGAGATTTAAAAGGGGATTTTGCAAGCTTTTAATACACGTGCGCTAATCATTATTCAAAATGTGCGACAATGTTTACGTTTACTTAGTTTCGAAATTTTAAGAAATCTACAATATCTCCTAGATCATAAAATCATTCTTCTCAATTCGTACTTTTTATACGCCAGTGTATACTTTGGCCACGATTTATTTTAAACGATTTTAAGCTTGTATTGTTTCTGCTACAATTCTCTCAACAAGTTAAAGATAAACTGTCAAGGACGAGACTTGATATACCTTGTTTTTGCTTGATTTCAGTTTTAGACTTAGTCATTCTCTCTTTTAGACTCTCAAGTTACATTCTACCTTCTTATGGCCTTTGTGGAACTGCTTATGCTAAGGTTTTTGCTCGTTGAAAATGAGAAAAAGTGTCGTCAGAGTACGACCAATGGCTAAAGATAGGAACACCTAGAGGAAGTTGGTCCGAGACTCAACACCGTAAATTAGATAAATACTGAAAACAAAATTTCTCATCGTTCAGAAAAAGTGATAGATGAGGAAAAAAAGGAAATGGAAGGCCACACTCAGAACCCTCAACTTCTTTAATCTTGTATCCTCACAAAGAATACATAAATCTCGTTCCAAGATAGACATACTTTATAAGAAATTAAGCTTTTCTTTTCTGTCTTCTCCATCAAGAATTTTCATAACATTGGCATCAATATGGATCTTAGAAAATAACTCTTAGCTCTCTTTCTCAATTTATACACTCCCCCAGACATATCCAATCACGCCCAACCCAAATTATCATTTGACTATGTGCACATGTTCTTCTCATCCCCTCTTCTCATACAATTTCTCAATCCTCCCCACAACAACTTCAAACGGGAAGGCACAAGAAAATAAGATTGAAAATGGGACCACAACAGCACAAGAATTATTTATTTATTTATTTATTTATTTCATGTGGGTACAGAAACAGGTCGAACCCAATAATACTGTACCACAAACAACCAATTGTATACAAATAAAATAGAATTACAGTTCACAATAATAATAATAATGAATTAACATTAATGGTACAAAAGGTATTCAAAAGGAAAAAAAAAACTGAAACTAAGGTTAGGTGATATAAATATATCATACATCAAATATCAAATGAACGCTCGAGGCAACACACCAACTGCAGCAAAGAGCAGTTTTTTAAATGCATAGAAAGAATGCTGAAATAGATCTATGTTAACACGATTTGCTGATCTTGCCATTCTCAATAATGGAGAGTTTTGACAGGCATTGGTTCTAGGAGTAGGTGTCATAAATAGAAAATCAAAGCGAAGTAATCTCGGAGGAACGTGAACACATATAGAACCGACAAGCATTGGAGAATCACACTTGTTGTTCAAAAGTTTGTAAAAATATAATATATCCCCACAAAAGCGACGCTGGTTGAGGGTTAACATACGAAAAGAAGTGCAAGTTGATTCGTAATCAATGTACTGAATGGAAAATTTAAAACAAAGGTATTTGAGGAATTTAGATTGAATACGCTCAATTCTAGATTTATACGAGAGATACTGAGGATTCCAAACAACGCTGCAGAAGTTAAGTGTGCTGTAAACATAGGCAAAATAGAGATTTCTAATTGCAGCAATGTTTGAAAAAGCTACCGTTGATCTCATAATAAATCCTAACATACGCCAGGCTTTGGAGACAACAGTATCGATATGTTTATCAAATAATAATTTATAATCAAATGTAACACCCAAATCTCTAATAAATGAGACACGTTGCAACCTCTCACCAGTGACGCTATAATTGTAGTGGATTGTGTTTACCCTCCTAGAGAAGGAAATAACATTACACTTTGATAAGTTTAATGAAAGGCGATTATTTAAGCAAAAAGCATGTAGATTGTTTAAGTCAGATTGCAGTTTAGAACAATCAAGAGGTGAGGAGATACGGAGAAAGAGTTTTAAATCGTCAGCATACATTAAACATTGGGCATAATTAACGACGTCAAATATGTCGTTAACATAAATATTAAACATTAAAGGGCTACCCTGCGGAACACCAGAAGGAACCGACACAGGATTAGAGAAAAAACCATTAACCGAAACAATCTGGCATCTCTCCTTCAGATAGGAAGCAAGCCATTGCAAAAGATTTCCCTGAACACCAAACTTCTTTAGTTTGAACAGAAGTAAGTTGTGATCCACTTTACTAAAATCCGTATAAACTGAATTAACCTGACAAGAATCATCCAGAGTAGATAAGATATACTGGGTATATTCAAGCAAGTTACTCTCCAGCAAAAAAACCATGTTGTCTAGAATTGATTTTAGACTTAAGGGCAAAGAATAGACGTGCATGAACTACTTTCTCAAACACTTTCCCAAATGCTGGCAAAATTGATATGGGGCGGTAATCGGGGCGGTAATTATGAAATACAAACTAAATATGATAAAAGCAACTCTAAGATCGTTTGAAATTCTTTCGGAAGCTTGTTCCAATGGTGAATAGTTTTTATTCTTCAAGAATTAAAGAAATTGGTCATGACCTTGACATGACCTTGCAAACTTGTTACTTTTAAAAATTGTACATTTTAAGATAAATTTAAAAGAAAACTTACCCAACAGCTCCGTTAGACAATACTTGCGTTTGACTTTGAAGAATTTCCCTTACATTTTGGTCGGAATAAAGACCAATGGGTGAATTATATTGTTTATTAACGAATTTTTGTTGATATTGATCTCCCATTTTTATTTCTCTAATTTAGTTCTTTTTGTCTTTGGGACGTTGCGCCTAAATCGATAAGGATTAAAATATAGATTAATTTTTAAATCGTGACAAATCGTTTGTTTTGTTAGCACGAGACGTTTTCGAGTGATTTAAACGCTGACAGACGAGAATCCGAGCCATTTGGCATTGCGTTTTAGAAACAAAATTACCATCTGTTCACAAAATTGAGACAAAACAAATTGAAATGTTTTTAACAATTTAAAATTGCTAATAATTGACTTTTTTTTTAATAATTCTTCGTTTTCACTTTTAAATATTTACAAGCCACTCAAGATGTATCTTTACAGAAACCATCTGGATCCTGAGTTAAAATAAACAAACAATTCATCTTGAAGTATTTTTATCTCTCGGAGGAGGAGTTAATTTCGCGAAACTTTCGATGCCAAAATACCAAAATCGGCGACAAACGAAAAATTTTTTTTTCGATTTTTTTGTTAATTCTACTCGAAGAGATAAAAATAGCGTTTTAAAAATAAATAACTTAACCCCAAAAATAAAATCTTTGCATTCCAAGGTGACGCAAAAAGCAGGTGAGATGAGAATTGAGGACGTCGTGTTATTTTTGAATTCAAAATTTATATAGCGAAGAATTTTTAGTAAATAGGCCATTGACAAATAAGATGATGAATTTGAATATGAATTTGCTTAATTTAACTACCTGGCTTATATAGAACCAATTATTAAAAAAACACTTTTGAAACTGAATTGAATGAAACTGAGATTTTCGGGAAAAGTTCTCCTTCTCCTGTTGTAGAGAGGATAATAGAAATTAAGGGGGGGAACTTAGTAACTAAAGCATAGAATTGGGATAAATATTTTTGTCTTATTATGATGTAGCCAAGAATTTGTATTTTACTAAAAAACAAATTTTAACCAATAATAGCATTATTTATTAATAAAGCTACATAGTTAATTATATTCTTACCTAAAAATAAGGTTTTTTTCGCAAAGTAGTAGATGAAACTCCCACTTCTTTTGAGAAACTGTGGAAAAATCGGATAGTGCCAACTTACAATCTAAAAATAAGCTAAAAATAACAATTCGTGGGTGGATTTTGTGTGCTCCCCCACTTAATGATAAAAAGAATCATCAAACAATTTTAATTTCACTAACAAATGTGGTTGCATCACGTTACCTATGCAGTTTTGGATTAAGTTAAACCCCCATAAATCAAAATTAAAGTTTAAAGACTTTAAATTACTCACCAATTGGACATTGACTGTCGTTATGAGTCAAAATTCCTAAACGATTTGTCTGGTATTAGTCGAATTGGCACTCATCTTGTGTATACTCAATAAGTGCCAACTAAGCAATGTAAATATAAATGTGCTTTGTCGTTTCAATATTATCTTCATGTTTCAAGGATAAAAAAAGAGTTGCAAAGAAAATAAACATTTATGATATTAAATTTTTAACAACTGGTGTGACTCGTTACAAATTAACATATCATTCATTTGGTGTTTCATTTTTTCTTAATACACTCTTCTCGAATGGTTTATACAGGGTGTTCCGGTGACTCGGGGCATAAAATTAACCTCATATACTAGAGCAAAAATGATGACGATTCGTGAAAAAAAATTATTATAAAAGTCTTCAAATGGCCAAGATATGGGCCATCAAAGTTCAGAAATTTTCACACATTTTTCTAAATATTTTCAATACCATTTATGATAGAGCGTTGAAATTTGGTACAGGGTAAACAAATATCAAGCAAAATCATTAAATTAATTTTCACTTTGATTGGGCGGCGACAACCATGCTATACAGGGTGTCCCTAAAATTTGTTTGCTCAGAACATTTTTGTTCGCTCGTAACCCTACATTTATTTTTGTACTTTTTAATAGAAAATTTATTTTAGAAACTTTTATCACTCTTTGAAAATTTTGATAACATTGACCGTTTTCGAGTTATACGCAAAAATGCTAAGCTTTGATTTCAATCGTAACAAACAAAAAAAGGAAACATATTCCGTAAGATCTGAGTTGGCGATGACAATTGAAAAACGAACTGAGCTAATAACCATTATTTGCATAAATTTCTAAGTGCAGATTTAGTTAAATCCAGCGTTAATTTATTTTAGTTGAATAAAAGAATATAATTTCCAAAACGATAAATTTAATTTTCACGGTAACAACAAACAAGAACATAACAAAAATTCTCAGTTCGAAGTTGATCAAATGAATCAACAATTCGCAACCTCAGTTGATCAAGTGAAGTTATTTCAACGCAGTAAACTAGCGATTTAACGCATTCCCATAAATAAAAATCTACAGGTGTAAGATCCGGCGATCGGGGGGCCAACTTATGGGTGCACCTACTCCTCGTTCAATCCACCATCCCGGAAAACGTTCCCTCAGAAATTCTTGGACAGCCTGTGTGTTATGCGCAGGAGCACCATCATGCATATACCACATTGCTTGCCTTGTATTTAAAAGAACATCATCTCAAAAATCATCTAATTTCTCTAAATGTCGCCTGTATGTATGTCCATCCAGCCTTGATGGTAAGAAAACGGGTCCAATAATTACATCGCCCACAATGCCAGCCCAAACGTTATGAGAAAATCTCCATTGTGATTTCCAAGTTTTCTTAAATCTTGGATTTTCGTCTGCCCAACTATGTAAATTTCTCAAAGTGATGATTCCATCTTTAGAAAAAGTGGATTCATCTGTAAAAAGTACTTTTTCTAAAAACTGATCATTAATTTGGATTTTGTGCTGCATTATTTGGCAATATGCCAAATGCGCACACTGGCCAATTGCCCACTGCGACTGCAATATGCATTGACATTGCCCTAATGTCAAAATCATGTCAGTTTGTTCACTAAATGTGTAACTCTCCATTTTGAATACTTAAAATTAATAATAACTAACTAACAGAACTATAGTTTGTGTTTAAACGACATAAGCAAGTTGACAGCAAGTTGTTTTTTTTAATTGCCATGGCCAACCTTGACTTTTTCGAAGACTTCGTTTTTTTAGTGTTACCATTGAAATTGAAGCTTAATATTTTCGCGTATAACTCGAAAACAGTCAATGTTATCAAAATTTTCAAAGAGTGATAAAAGTTTCTAAAATAAATTTTCTATTAAAAAGTACAAAAATAAATGTAGGGTTACGAGCGAACAAAAAAGTTCTGAGCAAACAAATTTTAGGGACAGCCTGTATAGCATGGTTGCCGCCGCCCGATCAAAGTCAAAATTGGTTCAATGATTTTGCTTGATATTTGTTTACCCTCTACCAAATTTCAACGCTCTACTGTATATGGTTTTGACAATATTTAGAAAAATGTGTTAAAATTTCTGAACTTTGATGGCCCATATCTTGGCCATTTGAAGACTTTTATAATAATTTTTTTTCACGAATCGTCATCATTTTTGCTCTACTATATGAGGTTAATTTTATGCCCCTAGTCACCGGAACACCCTGTATATGATAAATGTATATGATAATGCTGAAGAATAAATTGTACTGAAGAAAATCCAGATTTCATGCTACGTTGAGTAATAATAATTTGATAGATTTCTTTTAAATGAACTTGTAAATAATTCGAAAACGATGTGTCTACTCAAAAATTTGTAAGAGAGTAAAAATAATTTCAAAATAGACTTTTAGAAACATCCTGTATAAAAAATATAAAAATTATTTTTTGAGTTTATCTCATTATTTATTGATTGAATCAAAAAATTTTGTTAATAATATTTGTTTAGAATTAAGTCAGCAATAATTTTACTTAACATAATTTTTTTTAATCTTTCAAATTTGATTTCCCTGTGAATAGTATGGCAAATAAAAGTAATAAGGTACAATAAAAAAAAATGTTTTTCATCAAACGATTGTCACTTTAATAATAATAATATATTACCAGATATAATTTATTAAATACAATAGTTGATAATACGTAAATAATATGTTTTACTTTTAAAACAGCGTCATACCATTTTTAATCGGAATTTATATACAACTAGGTATGCGTTTCTTAAAAATCTAAAACATCATAAATAATTATAATTATTATTAAAAGGGAGATCTATCTATGGACGCGAAATGTCCAAGGAACTTATAAAAAAACCTTATCTATTTACAATAATTGTTCAATTATTATTCAATTATTAAAAGCTCGATTAATGATAAATTTGTTTTCTTCTAAGTATAGAAAAAAATATAGGCGCTCTTTATTATTTATTGTACTCTCGCAATTGATTATCAAATCGAGATTATCGGTAAATAACGATATGTATAGGTTGATTACTTAACAAGCTATAAGAATAGTAGATTGCTTTAAAATGTTTGTGTCAAATTTCAACTTTAAGGTACAAAAACAAAGGGGTTAATACTCGCCCTTTTTTTATAAAAGACTCCTACGTCCAAAATAATTTAGAAATACACGCTTACATAATCGGTTTTAGTCACTTTTATGTACATCTTAATCATAAATACAATTAAATTAGTTTTGTTTTTTATTTAGGATTTAGGCAAGAGGTTAAATACATATTTTTTTGTTGTTATTAAAAAAAAGGTACAACGTAGTGTGTAATATTAATTGTATTAATTATAATAATAGTATATGAATAATAAAAATAAAATCGGTTTAGGCCAAGCGATTTCTTATTCATCACCAATTTAAATATAAATCACAACGAATATTTAAAATCAAAGTTAATTTAAAAATAAAAATCATCGTTTAGCTAGGCATAACTTTGACTATGTTCTAAAGCAATATTATTCAATTTATTTCCTTGTTCAACCCAATTTTTTAACCTCCCCCTCAATTCCTCTAAACTCTTCGATTTCGCTTTATTAATTCTTTTATATTTAACATCTTTAGGTTTCGTTACTGAACGATGATTTGACATGACTCTGTTGTAAGTGGTAACCTGATTGTTCTGTTTTTCATCTTCTTTTCCTGTTTTTCTTGTACTATTATAACTCCAGGTAGATGATTCCTTTTGGGACATATCTTCGGGATTATTCTGGCATATCGCTTTTGAGCTACCACTTGCGGCGAAAGCATCTCGTTTCCGATGCAATTCCGTTGATTTGTGTTCGTTTTGACTGTCGTTATCGACATCCTCTTCAACGCTGTACACGGTTTCCAAGATTTCCGGTCTTCTTAGGAAACCGTTACTCCTTCGGACGGTATATTTTAAATTGGGATCGATCGCGTCCGAAATCGATCTCACCACTGTTACAGCATCCGGATTTCCAGATCGAAATTTCGGAATTTGAGTTAAATTGCAAGAATCCGAATCAACATCTTCCATGACAACGGCACTATCAGAATCATTTAACGAATCCAAATCTAAAAGATTCGTGTCTAACTCTAAAAGTTCGGTTTGTGGCGGTTCTAATCCGTTATCGACGAGTCGATTAATTAACGATTCGATCATTCTTTGTTGTCTTTGGATTATCGACTCTCTTAAATTAAGCATTGTCGAGATGTCTTTTTGTTTGCGTATTAGGCGCGATTCGAAAAAGAGTAATTTTCCCGAGAGGGCTTTTAATTGATCTGCTTTTTCTTTTTGTATCCGGGATATTAAGAGTTCTTGCATTTTGTAAGCTCTTCGCCACGCTAAAAGTTGTTGGGCTTGGGCGCGCGTTTTTTGTCGTAATTCCCTAACGAGTTTTTGAGCATCGTCGAGAGTTTCTACGTCCGTTGTTGTACAACTTTCGGCTTCTGTTAAGCCGAGAAGAAACTTTGAATCCATTGGTTTATTTGTGGTAAAACTACCAGATCTAAAAAAAAAATATATATCAATAAGAGTTGTGTTCAACTTATATCTTATCTAATTTTAGGTTATTATATCACATGTAACTTCTTATATTCTATTGGCTAAATGATAGACCCTTTGTGTCCCAAGAAGTCAAACATTTTGAAACTTTGTGACAGAATTAAAACGCTATCAAAATACACTCAGTAAAGGCCTTTGGAATAAAATTTTAAAGTGTCAAAAAAGATGATAATTCAAAAATTCTTGGAAAGCGTGTTTATTGAAATTAAGAAATAAAACTTATTTTAAATTGAAGCTTAAAGCTTTCTGTTTAAAGCGATGTATAACAATCGATGGGTTGAATTAGAAAAATATTGAGAAAAAGAGTATTGAGTTAAAAGTAACATTTTCGTATAACCTAAAAGTGTCAAAAAAGATGCTAATTTAAAAATTCCTGGAAGCCGTATTTATTGAAATTAAGGAATGAAACTTATTTTAAATTAAAGCTCAAAGCTTTCTCTTTAAAATGATGTATAATAATTGTTGGGTTGGATTGGAAAAATATTAAGAAAAAAAATGTTGAAACAACACTTACATTTAAAAGAGTCAAAAAAGATGCTAATTTAAAAATTCTTAGAAACCATGTTTATTGAAATTAAGGAATGAGACTTATTTTAAATTTAAGCTCAATGTTTTCTTTTTAAAATGATCTGTAATAATCACACCTAATAACCATTTATCAAAGAAATACCTTCTTGAACAACAAAATTCAACAGCACCACTTTTCACTAAACTTCTAACCTCACATCTGGATGAATAAGTTTAAAGTGTACCTAAAAATCCTACAGTGCGGATTGCGACGTTTTTTATACAGATTATTTCTTGTATACACTTGTATAGTAGAAAGTACAGACAGCTCTAAATGCGCCGAATAGCTAACTACAGTTTAAAATGAGTGTTTAAAATTACCGATACTTTAAAGTACCGTCGGGACACAAAGGGTTAATGGGTAAAATTTAGGTGAAAGGCAGAAACCATTCGAAATGTTTTAAATGAGTTTTCACTCAGAATTGATTTCTGTTTTCAGAGACAAGGAAATAATATTGAAAATTTTCACTGTATGAGTTGTGTAATGTAATATAAATGATACAGGATATAGGATTTCTTCAAAACCAAGGATAATGACGCCAAAACGGAAAAAGAGGAGAGACCAAAATCGGCGATTCATGAAAAGATGAGACAGCTAATCTGAAAAATGATTTCTAGACTAACAATGAATATTATTTGCATGCAAAATTCCTAAGCTAGAAGTCTAAGCGAATACTATTTATTTATTAAATTTTTTTTATATACTGGTTGGCATTTTTGTGAGGTAAATATATACTTTTTATGATGGCCATAAACCGTGACGAACTTAATGCACTCTGTGAGTTTAGAGATACACAACGGGACCATCTGTCTTTTAGCAACTCGTGCATAACGTGGGCGAACGTAACACAAGAACTTTTCCCCGAGGCGTTATCGAGCAATAGTAGACAAGCCAAGCCAAGCCGCACTCCTCTCGCACCAAGAAGGATCTTTAAACGTCGTAACTCGATCCATTCGACGTTGCCAAAGTAACACGATACCTCACCCTAGATATCCTTCTTTAAAACTACAGAGAGTAGATTATATAGATTCTGATCTTGTGTCTATTAATAAATGGAATACACTATTATAATTATCAAGTAGATGGATCGTGTATTGAAGAAATGAAAGGTGAACGTGGGTTGAGATTACGTCGTGTATATGATGGTAAAAAAAAGCTGCTTGAAACGCGAGAGGTTTAAATAGAGAAACGGCCTTGTCGCAATAATGCAAGGCCGTTTCTTGAAAGGAGACAGAAACGAACTCTCAAACATGATTAACTCAAAATTATTTCAATCGGATTTTTTTTTTTCTTTTTGGTTTTTGTAGTTAAAATAATTTTTGGTTGCATAATAACCACTTAACGAAAAACGATAATTCTCTTTGAAGGGGAAAGTTGCAGTTGTATTTCGTTTCGATTTATTCTCACTGATACCTCAAATATTTATTGTTGCAAGTTGGAGAGAGTCGATTTCTGTTTAAACAATTTTAAATTATTCATTTTAGTTCAACGCCATCTATAATCAAATTAACAATTTTCTCCTTTATTTAATTAAAAAAATAATAATATAATATATAAACATAACTTAATAATACCAAAAAATTAATATTCTTTTAAATAAACATTTCAAAATAACATTTTAATTATAAATGTTAATCCTACTTTAACGCCATCTATTATACAACCAACGAGTTCACTGAACTCACTCTTCCTTATCGACCACACATTTAGACACGTTTAGAGGTTATGTTGAGCGTCGCGCTGTCAGTTCGGTTGTGTTTTCGTTCGGTTCTGAAAAAATAATGAATGTTACGATTGAAAAAACTAAATACGAGTGCGCATCAATACCGAAACGATGGCAACAACCGCAACAGCGTGGACCAAGTGTTGGGGCCGGCGAAGATGTGCATCGAAAAACAGGAATTTCTATCGGAAAAGTAGATGTTATGTACTACAATAGATCGGTGAGAAACGACGCTTCTTTAGTGCCCCCGATTCGACAAACCGCCTCAATTTTTAAACAACCCGTAACCGTACATAAAACGCAAGAAAGTAAAGTGAAAACCGATATTAAACATGGTGTTCAAGAGAAGCCGAAGCAGTTGATGTGGGAGAAACGATTGGAAGGGTTAAGAGCTTGTGATTGCGATGGAACCGAGTACGAAGGAATGGAACTCCCGAAAGGAATTAAACCGGTGGGGCCACACGTAATGGAGGAAACTATTATTCAAAGTGTCGCGACTGCTTTACATGTTTCAAGTCAACCTGTTACTGGACAAATGGGGTCTAAAACGTCGTTAGATAAGAATCCGGGTGTCTTTTTGGACCCTAAACAGCCTTTAGTGCAAGCTGTAAACATTTCTGAGGATGATATTAAGAGGCAGGAAGAAAGGGTTCTCGCTGCTAGGAAGAAATTACAGGAAGCTTTGAAAGCTTAAATTAAAAAAAAGTGATTTTTTATACATTATTTATGACTATTTTATAATATTTCATTTGTAATTCAATAAATAGTAGGTTTAAGTATTATTATATCTTGTTTTTTTTTTATTTTACCATCCATTGAGTTATGTGGAGGTAGTTTGAGGGTATTATCATATTTAATGAGTGGTTTAAGGAATTGAAAGTTGCGTAGATTATGTGTCGTTGAACTAGGAATATAATTTCTAATGTGTTTCTAATCCAAGTTTTATTATACTCTTGAAATAATAAAATTGATTATTTTGATCCATTTTGTAGTGTTATACGGATATAAAAAACTTTTAATTTATTCAGGGTATTGTTTGAACAAACAGGCAGTTAGCCGAAGGCGATTCATAAAATCCATTCTATACGTAATATAAAATTGGCTCACAACCAGTACAATCCCCGTTACAAATTGCTACATTGCTAGGCCCCAAATGGGAAAACTTCCGCCCGACGCCCTTTCTCCTACAGTCGGGGGCCCCACTACACAATGGCAATTTAATATCGAACCAAGCTATTACGTAAAATTGCTAATAAAAGATTGAGTATTATTTATTACACTCCTATTCGCAGAAATCTTTGTTATCTTCTAAATTTTTTTTTGTATCATTTAAAGACTTTCTCTTCCCAACATTTTTTTAAAGTGGTCTCTACTCGGTTTAATTTAGTAATCTGGTTAAAAGTTCGTGCCGAACGATTTTCGCGTTACACAGTCCGATGGTCACCGTCGGTTCAAAGACTTCTTTTATACCTTCCACCTTCCTCTTCGTCCGTCTATTTAAAGGGCGTAGTGGGCACCAAGAGAGTCCCGGCTCGTTTAATTATGGCATAGATCCGAAGCCATATCGTAAAACGTGACTTGAGCCGACCATCAGAGGTCAATACCTTGCTATCGGTCGACAGCCGATGTAATATTTACCATTTTAAATTCACAAATAGGAAGAGGAGATTTTCTATTTTTGCTGTGAAATTTTTTCATTGTGTTCTAGTAAAGAATGAAAGAAGATGTGCGTGAGTGCATTATCAATGCACTTTTAATGGGATGTTAAAATATGTATGGGGACCACTAACCGACTTCTTGCGTTCCCTTTCTTCAATATACACGCCAGTTTTACAGTTAGTACTCGCGCTGTTTACTTTAGTAGATAGAGTGAATAAAAAAAGCGATGTTCCGTGATCCCAAAAACCGTTTCTAATTCTTTAACATTTTTTTTTTTTGTAATTAGAAACGTGGGCGGAAAAGAGAACATGGGAAAATTTTCTAATACGCGAGGTCATCAACAAGAATTTATAAGAAAAAAATTATTTCCGTCAGAATTTAAGTTTCATTTTTAAATTAATATTTAATTTTTTTTTAATAATATATTTTGGCTCGCTTCCACTAGAGATGAAATGATCAATACCAGGTTATTTCAAAGTGGCCAATATATATGATATCATTTATATCACTTCGCCGAGGTCGCTTGCGGGCGAGGCGCTACAATCTTCCAAAACTAACGATTTTGTGTTGATATATTAAGGCTCGTTACTACCATCTTCTGGTTATGCTATCTAAGGGATTATTACCACGGTTACGGCTATTTTACGCGCTCTGATTGGCTAGTATTGAGTTTATCTATAAGATAAATTTAACTTAAAGATGGTAGTAATGGACCTAAGTCTAACGCCTTGCCCGCAAACGACCTCGGTGATTTTATGTGATATCATTCATTTGATGCTTCAAATTCAAGATTCATTAGAAATCGCACAATATAATGATTTTTGTTTTGCCCTGAAGAGAACAAGATGTTTGGAACTTCAGTTTTCAAATAGTGCAATAACATCGAGCAAACCTCCTCTGGAGATTTATTGGCCTCGCCTTCGTGATATATATACATATTTGCCTTGTTAGTCTTCATGTCATGAATACAAAATACATTAAGTCAAAGTCCAAATATCTCCTGTACAGGTGTGATTGGTAGTGGTAAATTTTGCATAAAGTTAAAACAAAGCATCAGTATTGTTAATCATCTCCTTTTGTTTTATATAAAACTTCTTGGCTCTGCGCTTGAAGTAGATTGAAGTTTTCCTTAAAGTAACTATAATAAAACTATATTTTACTTTATCTCTCAACTCAGGATGGAACATTTCACACATTTTTGAGATATTTAGCTGTGCATCCCAATATTGGTTTTTCCTAGAACCATAATGTGTTTCTCTTACCTCAAATTTAGGGATATGTTCATGAATAAGGACACATATATTGCCATCAATCGCATTTCCACTGTGATTTTTGCTTCTCATATCAACAGGTGTTCTATTCTGCACTAATAGGATACATATCTCGAGAAACTCCATGTATTTGTAAAAAGACATTTTTGCAAACTGGAGTAAACTCGCCAATGATTTTAATCTTGTATACAATGTTTGCAAATCAAAATCTTGTTGGTTTTTGATACCAAAATTTCAAAACTCTGTGAATAGTTGAACACCTGTATATGGAAAGTTATTTTAATATTAATTAGAACGAAAAGGAAATAGAAGCACTGATTACTTAATACAGGTGTCTCAGCGAGACCGGTCATTAGACGTTTTTGGGGTTCTAGCCAAACAAAAAATTTGAGTCGCCACCTACTCTATTTTTTTAAATGGAACACCCTGTATATTTTTACATATTTGGATTTGTCTGTTTTGAAGGTTTATAAATAACTTTACTTTTTGCAATTTGAACCAGCAATTCTCGAGTTATTCGAATTTTTCTAGAAAAATTTGCTTCAGCGGACATTTGTTTAAAAAATCATAGAACACTCAATTTTTGAGATATCAATTTAGGATTCAGAACATGCTTAAACAACATGATGGAGTATGTTTTGGTGCCGAGAACGGCTGTCTGGATCGTTTGGTCACTTTACTATGATACGTTAACTTTTCGAAATTTGGAAGCACCATAACTTCATTTTTTTAAATGGCAACCCCCATATTTTATTACTTAGTCGTCTTCGGCGTCTCATTTTACATCTTTTATATTCCATATGTCCTATGCCTAACATTAATAGTTTGAGAAATAATTAGGGTTTTTTGAAAAATGCTCACATATCATATGGATATTAACCTAGTGTGCCATGGAAAACAAATGTTTAATGACTTATTGATAAACGTCAAAGTCTAATTTAGGTTGTTTGATGCTTGTGAGTCTAAAACCAGTTAAAATGGATATTAATAACGTAAATAATGTTTATACAAATGAAGAAATCCATAATTTATTTTTTGTGCACGAAAAGTGCGACAAAGTTCTTAGTAGAACTTGCAGAATGTTTAATGAAAATTATCCACATTTATCTCCGATGACAAAAGGTAAATTTAGAGGAATAGAAGCAAATTTTTTGCATTTTGGACGAATTAATCACGTGTTAAACTGACCAAAAAATGTAGTAGATAATGCAACGGAAGAGGTGAATACCTTGGCTTATTTCGAGCCCAGTCCCAACACCTCAATTCGAGCTGCCAAAGAAGATCTGGGAATCATACTACGAACTTTGTCGCGCTTTTCATGCAAAAAAAATAAATTAAGAATTTCTTGATTTGTGTAAATATTACTTTCGTTATTGTTATCGATTTTAACTCGTTTCAGTACTAATATTAAGGGACATAACAGATAATTATTAGCTCACATGCATCAAGTGACGTAAACAAGTGAGTCTTTGACAAGAACTCATTGAGAAGGCTTGTTTTTCATGGCACACTAGGCTAAATATCCATATGATATGTGTGCATTTTTCAAAAAACCCTAATTATCTCCCAAACTATTAATATTAGGTATGGGTCATATGGGATATAAAAGATGTAGAATGAGACACCGAAGACGACTAAAAAATAAAATATGGGGGGTGCCATTTAAAAAAATGAAGTTATGGTACTTCCAAATTTTGAAAAGTTAACGTGCCATAGTAAAGTGATCAAACGTTCTAGACCGCAGTTCTCGGCACCAAAACATACTCCATCATGTTGCTTAAGCATGTTCTCAATCCTAAATTGATATCCCAAAAATTGAGTGTTTTCTGATTTTTTGAACAAATGTCTGCTGGAGCAGATTTTTCTAGAAAAATTCGAATAACTCGAGAACGACCGAATCAAATTGCAAAAAGTAAAGTTATTTATAAACCTTGAAAACAGACAAATCCAAATATGTAAAAATATACAGGTGTTCCATTTAAAAAAATAAAGTTGGTGGCGACTTCCGGTATAACCGGAAGTGCAAGAAATCTGAAAATATTTTAGACGAAGAGATCGTAATTGATAATACTTAAGTCTGAATTGTCAAATTTTTATTTTCGCCAGAAACGTCTAATGACCGGTCTCGCTGAGACACCCTGTATATGCATTATTAGCATTGATTAAAATTATAATTTTTTGTGTGTCGAAATGAATGTTAAGTTAAGATTGAAAATAATCTGAATCAAGCTATAATTTGATCGTCAAGTTCTCAATCAATTTCTTCTCAAAGCTATAACTCCTTTTAACCTCCTCTAAAATTGTTTTTATATTATACCATAAATGTTATACGTATATTGTAGTTGTAAAACCAAACCATATAAAATTTCATAACCTTATAAAATATTAATAAACACAATCCACCCTTTTACATTATTAAATTAAAATAAAAAAAATGTTACAAAATTGTTATAAAAAGCTTTATAATTAAAATGTTACTACAAAAATATTTAATCGGATTATTTCGGGAATTACAAAATGGTATTTTTGTTCGTTAACGGAATTTCCTGTTGTAGTAAATTTTGAAAGGGATCTAATTCGGTTTGCTTTTCATTAGGTTGATAAACAAAAGACGCGTTTTCGTCGACGAAGAGCTTCGAAGCAAACCCGAGACAAAGAGAGAGCCATTTTAGCATCGTGCAGTAACACTGCATTTAACCAAGGTCGAAAACATTGCTGAAAATCAATACTGAACCCTAAAGTCCGTCTCTGGTTTTCTTTGTTAAACTTGGCACTCAAACCGGACCTAACTCAATTATCCCAAACGAAAATATTTCCGGATTTGTGTTATATAGGATTACAAGAAC